TCCTAGATGGGATGTCAAAAGAACTAAAGACGTTGACGGGAAAATGTTTACTAGACGTCTGACGTTTCAGGTAGTGATTTCGCCCACCCATTTTCAGACCCTGGAACGTCGTGCACGGGGAATAGTGGCACTCGATTTCGCCTGATTTACGGTTGACGATGGAAGGATAAGTAGAGGACATACTTCCGTTTTCGGATGTTCCAGCCTGTCGCCAACCGGACGGCAAACTGGCAAGCCCAGTCTACATAAAGCCGACGAAAGTGTTATAAATGCTCAGTTTTAACAACAGCAACCCATTGCACCTCGTTCGAAGCTGTGTACGCATGCTATGCCGGTCGGTGGAAATTCATTGAAGCACTTCAGACGTCAAACGGAAGGAGATGAGAACCTTCTCCGAGAACCTTCGGAGTTAGCGGGTATCCGCGATCGTTCACTGAAGGGGGCCGAATGGAACAAAAAAGCGGAACAGAGAGCGCAGCCAGCCGGAGTTATGGCAGGATATTCCATGCATGTGAGCGATCTCCGATACAGTGGCCAGATCACTCGCAATTCACCAGTTAGCGATGAGGCCAAATACCATATCCGTAAGCAGGAGGATTCGACCGTTGTCTACCGACTTCAGTTCAACTGCAGGATGCGCAAATGTGTCAAAGAAGTCGCTGACATTTGCAAACGCAAATTCGTGAGTGTCAGTTGGCCCGTAAGAATGTTGGACCCAAAGTCGAAGGTAACAAACCATGGCGCATAAATGGGGCACATCCTCAACTTTGACGTCGTTGAGGTCGTCGGCCGAGGCGATGATCACACCTCAGGGCAGCTACAAGACGCCTAGATGGGCACCAACTGCTCAGTCAACCGCCGCATTAAATTTCCTTGTCCCTCCCCCCTCTACCTGGCTGTACGAACCGTCTCGACAGGAGACAGTCACGGCGGGGAGAAGTTGGCGCCGTCAATTATCATCGCGGCCAAGGAGAGCGGGGAGTCCTAGGGGATGAAACAAGTCACTGGAAAATCCTAGTCCGATGCAGCCTCACAGTCAGTATTGGCAAAGCTCTGCGCACAACCTTTCAGTCTCCCAGGCTGGATGGGCGAGATCCCTACTGGAAACGTCAATAAATCATTTCTTCCGGTGAACGTCTCATCTTATTTTGATACTGATATAACTGACCGCGGTCTTGGAAGCCTCACCCGCATTCCACGTTGTCTACTTGGTCAAAGTCTATACACGAACCCTGTATTAGTAACATGCAAAGAATCAGGCGTTCCAGCGAGTCTTGTTTTCTGCATTGCTGTTGAAATGGGACTCATATATCTACCGTACCATCTCAAACAACACATGCATCACCCGAACTGCAATGCCGATTTTAAATTCCTAAATTCGTTAAGGAATCAGAGTCTACAAGGTTGAAAATAATCTTTACAGATGAAGTCAATCATTGCATTTCGGTTCAGTTTTCCAACTTCTGCTGCCCCCTGGTGAATTCATTGTGCGCGCTGTCATCAGTAAAACATCGAACTGATGTGGAAGTAGCACGAATTTAGGAGCATTTTGTTTAAATGATTCAGAGTCGTCGCTTTTTCATTAAAGTGCAATAAGATTTCGAGCGACGCGTGATCATTGCACTTTGGGAATGAATTAATCAATACCGAAGCACTTTTATCCGCTCGCTGCTTAAGGACATTTAGAAACCGGTAGCATTTTTGGCAGAATTTGGAAAGCAGTGGTGCTTCGAAATAAAATGCTGTTCCATGTTTTTGTGCAGTATTTTTGGCTTAGTTGTTATCATTGCACTGTCCTGTCCAGTTGAGTTGGTTCATCTAAGTAGACTTAGTGAGTGCTATTTTCGACGTCTACAGTTAATCATTGGGGAAGCCTATTTCCTTATTTTTCAAATGAATATTTCAGTTATACGTTTTGAAGTCGGTTGGCAGACATATGTTTTTGGTAATTAGTCACCAAGTCACCGTAATTACAGTCGCGGTTATAAGGAATGTAAGCGCTGGTGGATGTAGGATTCTGTCGTTAGACGTATCACCACAGATTACCGGCTCACCAATAATAAAAACAGTAAAACACCTCTGCGGCTTTATCCAAAATGCAAATGGTCAGATAGACATGAAAATAGAAGCCCTAACAGAATTACTTACTAGACGCACACAGAACGGCCGGTTGATCAGCAACAGAAAGACATTATGACAAAAGGGCTGTGTAACTTTGAGCCCACTGTTTGGTGAGTTCCTCGCAGATGTTTTCCTGGGCAAGGACGTGAAAATGAGTATAATGGAATCAGTTAATGAGTCTGGCTGTACGTCAAGGCGTCTAGAGAAGAGGGTACGCAAACACATACCTACCTGGTTAGGTAAAGTCGAAATAGGTCGATTTCGAGTTTAAATCTTGCACACCTCGCCGACACGAATCACCAGGTGGCAAAATAAGCCTTTCAGGCCGTCTATCGGGCGCTATCAAACAACTCTAAACGCCTAACTAAGCGGGTGCTAACAATGGCCAAGTCAAAGTCAATTCAACTAAGGGATCCAACGTTTTGTTACGAGAAGCCAAACCATCTGTTTTCCGTGACCAAATCCATGTGGTGATCGGACAACGCTCCGGCCTCTTTATGACACTCATATGCAATCCGCGAGTTTGACTTGCAGTTATGGCTCAACCCCCAACATCTCCTTCCCCCAACCCCACCAACCATGGCACGTCGACTTTGACGCAATATCGGCATGGGAACGAGTCAATAATAACCCCTCTCACCGACACCCCCAAAGGACACATATAAGCCCTGTTCATCGTCCACATGTCCATTCTCCATGTGACTGTGCTGGCATGATTGTGGATTACCGAAATCATTTGGCTGCTACATGTCATTCCGGAAAGGATTCAATATGCGATCCAACGTTTCATAGAACGTATTACTGCCTACTGACTATTACGAAAGTAGTGTTATTTAACTTTCGCACACTTGAACGTCTTTTTTTGAGATAACATATATTTTTGCCTACAGCTTATCTGTCGTTTGGAATACAGGCTAATCTGATATGCTTGATCTTTGCTGGCCACCTTGGCGGCTCCCTTGTTTTCCGCTGTTCTGCATCATTATTTCTTACCACTGGGTCAACATTCCCGCTTTACTCTTATGGAATTCGCCAACGTCATTCGTCCATGGGTTTGTATTGGCTGTTTCGCTGCCTTGATCTCCTGACCTGACATCTTATTGTGTAGGCGCTATATTTAACTCCCTTTGGTTTTTGGCGTTGAATTTCACCCGTATTCAATTTTCCGGGTAGCTTTCGTGGTCATGTAAGAACCTATTCGAACCTACACACGGCGGTAGAACATTTTTCCGAAATCTTATCCTCTTTCACCGCTCTCTTTCCCGTTCATGAGCCCTATCTATATGACCCTTATCCCCAACGGTCTGTAAGACACGATGGCCTATCCTCCGCTTCCTGGATGGGGTTGCATATTGCGTCCTTGCAGCCTTCCTCACGGTAAAGAAGACAAAAGTGCGATCACTGAGGCGGTAGTTTTGAAACTCGAACAGAAGTTCAGCATCAGAGGCTGATGGAGTGCAAATCTTGCTAACGATTGTACATTCTTTCCTTGAGTGGGTCGAGTTTGGGTCCGCGGGTAGATCTGTTTCGGGCCACCTGGCCGAGGATGGTTTCACTGCGTAGTGACGGCGTTTGTCCTTGCCGGTGGTGTGAGCCCGGCCACGCGACTGCGAGGGGTAAGTGAATATGTCTATTAGTGGAGTTGGTGTCTGAAAACCACGCCTTCAGCAGTTCCAGCATCGTCTGTTGCCTGCCCGATCCAGTATCCGCGGACTGGCGTGTGAGTGACGAATTGTTTAACAAAGAAACCATTAATTTAGACCCAACCGTCAAAAATGGGCGCTTCAGTGCGATTCGAACTCACGAATTCAAGGAAAAGGCTTTAGTACAGCCGACGTCCTAGCCACCCGAGCTACGAGGCCCCTACGGGAGAAGCGATTTTAATCGCATTTAGGTCAAGTTACCCGCCCAACCTACTGTAGCATTTAGAATCCATCAAATTTGATACTGTAAGTTGATTGCCCAAGTGGGATTTCATAAGTAATCAATCTAGAATCCACCAGATGACTACCAAGCGAACCTATTAATCACATAAGCGTTGGCTTTACTAAAGCCTCCCCTTGCTGTCGTGGCTTCGAATCCCACTGGGGCGCGGAGTCTTTCACAGTTGGGTAAAAATAAATTATTTAAAATCTGCCTAAACACCTATTAAGAACAAAGTAAGTAACACTTAATGTGAAATAAGTTTTATGCTGTATGGTCTCAGCCGTCGTTATTTGCATGATAATCAAAAGTAAGCCCGTTCAACAGAATAAAGTATTTCGTTTAGGTAAAGCAAAATTATCAACCTTCTAATACAATGCAATTTGATTTCGCGCGCCACGTTATAACTGCACTACGCGCGTGAATTAGTCGATATTCAGCCCCTTTTGTTGGTACATTGCGTATCTAAAAATAAAAAAATGATTCATTTTGTGACAATGCTTGGAAAACAGCCATCTTTCGACATCAAACGATGCTTCATGTGTTGTGTGTTATGTTTAGGTTAGTTGTTAGCATTTAGTTGTCCATTCCCGTCGAGTTGATTTATCCACGTAGGCTTAATGTGTGCAGTTTGTGACTACAAGGATTAATCACTGGATAAGTGTTCTTCCTTATTCATGTCTAATAAGATGAATAAATTAAAACTTGTTGTTTTGGTCTCGGAAGTTGTTATTTGCATGGGAACTAAAAATGAAGCCGTTGAAATCCAGTGGGTCAACACATCGTCGACATTGGTGCTGCGAGAAAGGGTACTGCCCAGATACGTGAAGTTGTCGACCACTTGCCGTTGGGTTCCGTTCCCGCTGATTTGCGGTGCATTGTGGGAAGGAGCCGTGATCGGTGGCGGTTGGTGCATGATCACCGTCTTCTCCCTGTTGATGAACAGACCGAAGTTCTCACATGTCCCCTTCCGAGGTGGTGTTGAGGGCGCAGTCCTCGACGAAGAGAAGTTCGTGAACAGTGGTTGCGGGTACGCGTGATTGGAAGTGCGTCGGCCTGTGGTTGAGGAGGTAGCCGTCCGTCCTGTAGGCGATGCGGATCTCGGAGCGTTCGTCACGGTAGGCACCCATCAGTACGGCAGAGGACATAAGACTGAAGAGGGTGGACGCGAGGACGCATCCCTGTTTCATTTCGTTGGTTACTGTGAATGCCTCTGATACAGCTCTGTTGTCCATGACGCGCGCCATCATGCTATCGTGGAGCTGACGCATCATCTGAGTGAATTGTTCGAGACAGCGAGTACGGTGATGCCGTCGGCGCTGGGAAGGGATAGAGTACCTTGGGTTGGCGGACCGTGGATCGCGGTGAAGAAGTTCTTCCATTCGTGACGGTTAGCGTACCCTTGGATCCCCTCAGCCTCGCGAGCCGTTCAGGTGTCCTGCATCTCGGGCAGTAGCTGCCAAACAAAGCGACGACAACGGTAGTAAGCAGCTTATTTGTCGTCGACGTAGGCTTTGTGCAGGCGGTTCTTCTGTGTGGGCAGGTTACTGATGGCGACGTCGTTGTCGCGAACTAGTCCTGGTGTTGGCGCGTGCGGCCAGGGACAGCCAGCGCCGTCGACTGGACTGTGTCCCGCAGTTGACACCATCGGTTCTCCATGGAGGCGTTCTTGTCAGCGGCGGCGGCGGCGGCGGCGGCGGCGGCGGCGGCGGCGGCGGCGGCGGCATCAACAACTGAAATGTTGTCTAAGTCATTGAGCTAGCTCGTTGCTGAGGTGAGGTTGATGTGCAGGCAAAGGCAGCTAGGGCCTAGGGGCCGCTTAACTTGAGGTCTCCTGTGAGGCTCTAGGCTAGCCTGCATCTTCGAGGTGAAGTTGCGATGTTTGGTCCGGCCGTCAGCACCCGGAATCGCCTTTCTCACCAGCACGTCGCGCTGTTCTTGCCTCCGGAAGAGGACATAGTCTAGCAGGTGCCACTGACGCGGCAGAGGATGCATCTAGGTGGCTTTCTCTTGCATCGGCAGGCAGAAGAATGTGTGTTCATCAGGATGAGTTGGTGTTCTGAGCAGGTTCTTAATAGGAGAAGACCATCGTCGTTGGAGTCGTTGAGAGAGAGGCGACCTAGCAATCCTTTCCAGGCTGCATGTTTTGTGCCGACGCGGGCGTTGAAGTCACCAAGCACAATCAACTTGTCCGCCTTCGACACAGTCGCCAGGATGGTTCGTATGTTCTCGTAGAAATTAGCCCTGGCGGCGTCAAGGCTGGTTATCGGCGGAGCGTAAGCGTTGATGATGGTGGCGAATTTGCCTTCCCGAAGAGGCAGGCGGAGGCTCATCAGGCGATCGTTGATGCTCTGCTGCAGACAGGGCAGTCGTCCCATGATGTCCTTCCGGATGGCAAAGGCGCCACGCGCGTCCTACCACTCTTTCTGGGGCGACTGCTCCAGAAGAAGGTGTAGCCGGCACCCACGGCCTCCAGTTGGCCTTGTTCGGAGAACCGGGTCCCGCTGAGTAGGGCGATGTCCACCTTGTAGCGCGCCAGTTCCCGAGCCACTAGTGCCGTCCTCCGTTCCGGTCGGTTGCTCCTGGGATTGTCTGAAAAGAAACGAACTTTCCAGGCTGCCAGAGAGAGCGCACTGACCGTAGCACTCTGGCGAGTGCGGGGGTGGCTAGGAGGAGGAGAGCAGATAAAAGTGCTTTGGTATTGACCAATTCATTCCCAAAGTGCAATGATTACGCGTCGTTCGAAATCGTATTGCACTTTACTGAAAAGTCGACGATTCTTAATCATTTAAACAAAATGCTCCTAAATTCGTGCTACTTCACATCATTTCGATGTCTTACTGATGGAAGTGCGATCAGTGAATTCACTAGGGGGCCGTAGAAGTTAGAAAAATGAACCAAAGTGCAAAGATTTACTTCATCTGTAAGAAGTATATTTAAACCTGGAAGACGTTGATTCCAGGACGAATTTAGGAATTAAAAATTGGCATTACAGTTCGGGTGATGTATGTGTTGTTTGAGATGGGACGGTAGATATATGAGTTCCAATTCAACAGCTATATTAAAAACAATGAATTCGGTAGAGATCGTTCTCCATTACCGATGAAACCAGCCAAACCCGCCAGATATAGGAGGGTTCGGACAATTCGTTAGAACACTACCTTCACGCTTTTTATCAGAGTTCCGAGCTAGTATCGGTTGAATATGGGATTCCATTGAATTTATCCTCGTGAGAGAAACATTACTGACGATCATTATAAACCGTGGACGCCTCCTCAAGCCAGTTGCATCAGTCGGTCGTATCCACATCAGCAGTTACCCTCTGCGGTCTCTGATATCCAGACGGAGATATGTTGATATTTGTTTAGTCTTTACTCGAGCAGGCTGAATTGCGCACCCGTCTGCTCCACATTGGGGCTTCGTCCACCTAGGCGGTCGTGTCAGGCTTTATGCTCATGCTTCTGCTTCTTTGTTAGTCAGCGTTCACGATGACTGTCCTTCGTTTCAAGATTGAGCATCCACAGGACTTGGGAACGGAGTCGGTGCTTTCTTAGGTTTACTCTCAAATAAGTGCAAACATTTTACCGTGAAAAGCCTCGAGGCCCCCTACATCTAAATGCCAGAAGTCGTTAACATTAAAGGCCAAAACAAGTTGTTGTGCAATTACACAAGCGAACGTTGTTCATGGCCGATGAATGATGTGAACCCTTTTTGAACTGCCGAGGCTAACTATCTTTGGATATTAAATCAAAATCAAAACTGCATCTTTCAAATCAGAAATATTGTTGACTGCGTTACAGATTGGGAAATAGCTCAGAGCAGACTTGGAAAAATAACATTCCTCAATTACATACTTATCCTTGATACTGCTGCAGTTCACTCGGACATTGCATTTGAAGGCTACCATTTATTCTCTCCGGCAGCAAGGTTGCATGTTAGCATTTATCTACAATACGACCAATGAAGTCATCTGCAGATGATATGCGCCTTCTGGCACTCGTCACAGTAATAATGACTTTCATTAATGTTCTACTTTACTAGTTTCTTAAAGACTAAACTAAAAATTCAGATTGTTCCTTCGCGCTACCGTTAAAGATCACATCTGGCCGCAACTTAGACAGTCAATTAACCCGTCTGTGTTTTGCTAAACGTAAACAAATGGATGAGCAATTCAGTCCTAGCTAACGCTAGAACATGGGGAAGATATTTAACTGAATTCAAGCCAACAACAACAAGACTAGACCAAACGTGGTCCAAAGAGGTTGACACCGAATTCAGACACTAGATCAGTCTCTAACTGAACCTTGTGCGTGCACAGCAGCATACCATGCAGGTCGAAAAACAAATCAAAACAAAGGGTGATCGCTGTACGACAGAAAGCAGACTATTATTTGGAAAGTCCAGATGTCACGAATGCATCGAATTAGATAAATAAGGTAACGAGACAGAGAGAGATAGAGATAGAGATAGAATATGTGTTCTTGGGAGTGCTGGGAATGAGCGGACGTCTGTTATTCCGCCGTCGGCTTTTTCACCAGGAGACCATCCACAAACTTAACGAACTCATCCTCTTGGAAAGCCGTCTTCATGATGAAGGGTTTCTGGTTCATGAGTTGACGGTACGCCATCACGTTAGGCCACTGAGAGGCGACGGTCTCGACAGTGTCACCAGAGTTCTCGTCTATCTCCAGTAGTCGACTCATCATGAAGTCCCAGCCATGGAGGAAGGGGAAGAGAGCCAGGTCTGCCAAACTCAATTTCTCACCTTTAAAACAAAAATGCTGTAAAGTCGGCTGGTTTACAGTTTTGCTAATAAAAAAAGTTTGACCAATCTACAAGATAAGGTAGCGATCTTTAAATCTCCCTTTTACGAAAAATTCACAAAACAAGGGGCGTTACTAATTACCTTTGCTCACTTATAGGGCCCACAATGCATTCTTAAAGTAAAGTTATCTCCTCTGATATTATTACAGACAACAGAACAGGAGATAGCCCTGCTTGAAATCCGTGAAGGACACTTCAAGATGGCAGGCTGAAATGCTGAACTCTATGAGCATTCACTATTTACTTCCTCTTGAGTAGCGTGACGCAATTTTCAGAGGGACATGTAAAAGCTTATTATAGTTGAAAGATATGTCGTCCAACGTTGTGGCTGTTCAACGACTGTTCGACCGTGGCACGCTACACCGTCCACCGTGTTTTCAGCACGTGTGGTGGACGCAGGCCGGCGACTTATGCGTTTACGGCTGACCGCTATCACAGCCGTCAACGCCACCGCTCGCCCATGTCATCTCTGGTGCGCTTACGCGTGTGACTTGACCTCCGGCCCGAAAAGGCCAATCGATGTCTTCCTCTTCACCGATTGGTCGCCGTATGTCCTTAGGCTTACACTGACACTACACCTACTTGTGGTGCTGCCTGTATGCCAGCTGCCTCAGTAAAGGCTTGTTGTCTAGCTAACCATCTTCCCTGTGTTCCGTGTTAGGAGTTCTCAAGTTGACAACGATCGCACCTCTTCCTTCAGCAGCCCGGCTCTGACGACCGGAGGAGGGACTTAGGCCCAGTGACTGGCAAGGCTAAATCAACACGTGTAAGCATGCTACACACAGACGACCTGGTCCTCGTAAAATATGTTATAAGTAGAAGAGGGGCGGTCGGGATCTCACGTGTGCGACAGTGTCATAGAGGTCACATGCAGACAAAGCCCTTGAAGAAGGAGACACAATCGCTGGAACAAGAACTTTATTCCTCTGACGAATCTGATTTCTTTTCGAACCCATAAACAGTGACAACATCAGATACGGATAGTTCATGCACAAAGGACCGCAGTATTTATAGGATGAAGCTGTCATGCTACCGCATACCTATGACAATTCACGGCTTCCCCTTGATCAGGTATTGTTGCACTTGATGTTATGCATGTTCGATAACCGACATTAGAGTCCTTAAACGGTCCACTTGCATCACCTGTGTTGGGTGTCGGTGTGATGATTGCTCGACCGCCCGACTCGTCCACCCTGGCGTTGCGAATAGTGTTCAGCCGCGCGCTCTCCACATGGCTTATTACTCCGCCTAGGCTAGACTGGGGACCAGTGCAGCATGACTCAAGCATTCGCAAGAATTTCAGCCTCGTCGAATCTAAATGTTGACCGGATTTTGTCAAATGAACCGCAATTAGATCGCACCGCGTGTTCGCCTGTTCGCGTTCGGTGCAGTTACCCGCTGCCCCGACGCAGTTGCTTTGTCCGCGGCTGCACCAGATCCAGCAAACGCCCCCCAATTGTCCCTTGCTGTGGCAGTGGGTCTTTCGGTCTCATGATCTGGGGCCTGATGGTTGCCTACCGTCTGTGCGCAATTACAGCAATCGTGTCTCCTGCTTCCTACAACTCCCCTCTTCGCTGTGTCTAACTGTCAGTCTTCCAAACCACAACTGTTAACGCGTCACTAATGAAGGACCCGCCGATGTGTCCTGCGGATGGATCCGCCAGGGCCGAACTCACTCTCTGGCCCCCCCTCGGCAGATAGAATCCGTCAGCCATAGGACGTTTGGATTGGGCAGCTTAGCTGGCGTGCCGCATGTATTCGCATAGGTGTGCAACCACCCCCCTCCTCCCTCCATCTTGTGGGACAACAGTTGGGGGCATGTGAGGACTCTACATTGCCAAACTCACGTGTCCCGTACTTATTTTGGCCTGGTTTTAGCCCAGCGCATTTACTGTGAAGGGGTAAACTGACATACCCATGAGGTAGGGACCTTTAATGGCTTTGTCAATATCCGTTAGACCGTTTTTGAGGGCGTCAGCATCGGCTTGGGTTGCCTCCGGTGAGAAGCACATTCTGTGCCGTGGAAGGGCAATCTAAATTTCGGACACAGAGAGCAAAAGGGTCAGGCATGTTAAGGGGCATGAAGACGTGAATAAGCGACTGCAATGGTGACTGGTTATGCGTTAGCCAGGAAGCCAAATAAGGGGGTAACTACCTCAACAATTCTCCTAACAGTGCAAAAAGGTGCTGTGACACTTTATGACATGCTAATATTTTAATCCTCCGGGATCTCCTCCCTGTGCAACATTCAGGTTTCGGTTGGAGCTTCGTCACTAAGATTCCATGGAGGAGACCTAAAATGGAGTTAAGTTCTAGATGGGCACCACCGTGCGGCTCGCACTTCTAAAGTATCCAAAGAACGCCTGGCAGTTTAAAGCTTGAATTTAATCCTTCCTGGAAAAGGCTCCTGATGATCAAACCAAAGCAGGAAGGCAATACATGATGCATCTCTCCACGCCCCAAGCTTCGTCCGATGACATCGGCTCAACTAATACTGCAGTGAATTTTTTACTAGATTCGTTGGCTAGATCGCAGTTGGTAGCCAGGAATGGGGAAGCGACGGCGGACGGCGACCTTAACCCTAATCCTAACCTTAACTCCAACCCTAACCTCAACCTTAAAGGTTAACCGTTAACCCTAACGGCAACCCTAACCCCAACCGAAATCGTAAACGTAACCGTAGCCGTTAGATATAGCCGTAACTGAAAAACCTACCTGTAATACTGAAACCTATTCGTACGCTCAAACCCTAACCGTAACCCGAAAAACTAAGCCAGAGGCATAACCCTAACCCAAAAATCGGAAACTATTAACCTGTACCGTAATCCTAACCTCAAACCTAAAACGGAAGCCATATGGGTCAGATATGATTATGGGGCCCCGCAAAATAGCCCCAGTAAACAAACCTCCCAGTCACCTGTAATACGGGGCCTGGCTACCAACTGCGATCCAGCCGATTCGTTAGTAGAAACACCGTAAAATGGGCCACTGGTGGTAATGAGCTACATGAGAAAAGCAGCCCGCATTCCATAGTTTGACATTTTACTTTTTTAGATTCATTGGTGAATGCAAGTTTGCCACTATTAGTGTAATTGCTATTTTTGTTGGTGATGAGGACGCTATTGTTGTTGATGTTGATGATGGTGGGATTGATAACGCTACTCACAATGATGATGATGATGATGATTTCAGTTTATTTCAGTTTATTTGGTAAGGATAATAGGCAAAGGATGATGATGATTTTCGATGCGAACGTACACTAATTCTAATGGATACTCAAGAGCAAAAGCCTCATTCCCTAAGTAAACTTACAGCGCTGACTACGAAGGAATAGGCTGATGTGTGCTTTTGAACGGCGTGCGTCAAAGAAGACCTAATTTATACTAACCAAAATATGTTGAATGAGTTTTGCAGTGCAAGATTCACTAGACTTACAAACGCCGAGGAATCCAGGGCCTTCTTAAAGTCTTCTTCGCCACAGACGCTCAGAAGTGAATTTTTGGGGCCCTTCATCTGATCGACATACTGCATGATGACCTCTGACTCAGTCATTTCCTCGCCCCGATACAGCAGCAGGGGGACCTTCCCAGCCGGATACATTTTTAGATACCAGCTGGGCTTTGAAATAAGGTCGATTAACACGCGATCATAGCTGGAAGGAAAAAGCGTCACTGGTAATGGCGAGACGGCCAGTTTGTACTAAGCAAGATAACTAATATTTATATTCGACAGTGGGATTCTGAAGAAACTAACATTCGCGCAACAAGAGCCGACGTACAGAGGGTGGGAAGAACTTGAGGGAGAGAACAAATTATGATTATTAAAGATATACTGTCAATAATTCTCTAGGAATTCCAGGAAGAAGTCTTAAGAACGATGTAGCTGAGAAGGACGAATATGTCGGCTATGAATGAAAAGCATACGATAACTAGCAAAAAAGGTGTGAATGACGTCTTCTGTTAGTTAACTCAATTCTGCGACTACCGTGTTTGCAGAAACGGTTGATTAGTGGATAAACGACTCTTACAACAATTACGTCAACCTTGTGATTTTAGTACAGAAGAGAATATCCACAAAAGGATCGCTTTTTCTCATTTTGTTTTGCAGTGAGGCTGCGACTGAGTGGCACCTGGATACCTTTGATGCTTCAGGACGCTTCTAGCATTTATTGGACGGGGGAGGTAATACGAGCTGACCTTTAGTCCTGTTGGATATTTGTTCAAATTTTTTAAAGCAGGTTAATATTTCCATAAGTTCGTGCGGCTGTAAATTCGGAAACATGTAGAAGGACAGGGGTGATGCTGTCTGGCTGGAAAATCAGGCAGCTTTTGCGTCTCATAAAAATCTACAGACCTGTCTACATAATAGAAGGCAGTTCGGATCCCCTCACTCAGCGCTCGCCTTTTAGATCACTAAGGGGAATTCGTTTCTTGCATTCATCATATTGGGCCTTTGTGAGCCGTCTTGCGTAATCCAATGAATGCGCAGACGCTCCACTGTTTTTTTACTGTTTTCTCCAGACGGCTACTAACCACAAGTATCTCACTGGACATGCCAGAAAGAACCCAGGGGTTGGGAGCTCAGAGGACTTTCTAACTGAAGTTTCACGCAAGTACAGTGAGTGACCGATCTCATGAAATGTTGGCCGAAATTATGAAATGCGTTTCCGATTAGGAAGGATTACTTAGGTGTAGTTGTCATGCTGATTATCATGCGGCACAATCCTATAATGTTCCGGACTCGACAGGATGTCGCATTTTGAATGCACTTCTGTCTAGTTTTCTGCGGAATCCGTACTCTGTAAAGATGACTACTTAAGTTGCATGCGTTTTTCACATTGATTTTCGATGATCTTATAAATTCCAACACATTTTATAGAAAACATGCACTACATGTACGTTGGTTTACTCGTTGGTTAGAGAATTACCCCATATTCATATTTGTTCTCGAAGAAGAAGTATAATTAGGTTTTTAAAAGGTTTTTAAATATAAGATTCTTAAGATCATGGAATGTCCATTCATGCAACATCGTACCTGTCTCTTTACCAATGCTCCTCATGAAATATACAACATAGTCCGCATCCGTTGCAAAATTTCATGAAATCTATATGGCATATTCTTAAAGGCATAGATGAGCTATAAGTTTATTGAAGTGGGAAGCATGCACCTTGTAGACTGAAATAAGCAAACGCTAATACAGCGGTTGATCAGGCTCAAAATTATTTTGGGATTAGAAGATCTTTCAAAAACCTAATTACATTCCTCCTTCGGGTATCAGATGTGAAGGTGACGTGATTCTATATCAAACAAGTAAATGAAGGCACATTTTATATATGTTGTTTTATAAAATATATAATAAAAGTTTATAAGACAATTTGAAATCAGTGTGAAAGTGCATGCTACTGAAGTTGTCATTTTTTACTCAGCGCAGCTTCCACAGTAGATCGAAAAGAAGTGCATTCAAAAGCCAACATTTTGTTGAGTGCAAAATATTATACGATTATGCCGCATGATAATCAGTATTACAACCACACTCAAGTAATCCTTCCTAATCAAAAACACACTTCAGAATTTCAGCCAACACCTCATGAGATCGGTCACGCACTGTAACTAAGCTGCACAGACGGATCTATGCCGTTTTTGATTCCGAACAGCCGATAACCATCATTCTCTCATTATGACTATAAACACAGGCAAAAAATTAAACAATTTGGACAGTGAAATGTCATAAGGGAAGGAGCAGACTTTCTTACGGTATTTCATGGTAGTCCAGGGTGTATCGTACACGCTGGCAGTAGGGGCAGAAATGCATGTCATATAGCGTGAACTTCTCCGGGTCCACGGAGGGTTCGGGATCACCTGAAAAGGACGAGCGATGAATGCGGAGGAAATAGTTCCGGGCACCTAGGATACTCCGTGTGGATTGCATTTAAGTATCGAGAAGACGGCCAACTGTGATTTATCGATTGGATATGCCATGTGTAGCACCGGCTACCCGACTGATCAAGATTCCCTTCTGGGTTTGATGGAAAACATTAATTCCTTAATACTATTGATACGATTAAGTCTCCTAACTGAGCGAGTGCTATGCCACGATCAGCAAATCATTGTCCTCGCAGTCTGGTGTGTGCTGTCATTTCCTGGTTATCTGGCGATAAATGTGCTTGCGCTCCCGCTGGATATACAGGTCGTGCGCATGGCTGCCCGGTCATTCTCGCCTTTCTGGTGCTGTTGATGATGATGATGATGATGATGATGATGATGATGATGATGATGATGATGATGATGATGATGATGATGATGATGATGATGATGACGTTATTTGTTCAAATCCCGGTTTGTTGTGGACCACGGGGTTTGGCGGCACGCCTAGGTACGGGCTCGATCGGGCCAGACACCTTCGCCCTCCCCGCCTCCGGTCTTTTTGACGCTGTCTTAACAGCGGGTCCAGGCGGGGAGGAGGAATGTGTGACAGATGCTACGCAAGTCTACTTCCACTAGGAACTAAGTTACGCGCAAGTCACCCTGCCTGCTTCACCTTGCTGTGAAGCACAAGGTAAACGTCGTCGGATGCGCCGGTCAAATCGTTACATATCCCAACGGTCTAACAGATTCCGAATGACATACCTTTCTCCACAGTTATTGTAGGGAGATGATTTTATTTAAAAAATCATGAAACAATCTGTAGAACGCTGCCAAGTTTAGTCGAGACGTTGCCTTTTCCGAGGTCCAATGCGAAAAAGGTCAAGTATTTCAACTGGATAGGGTCTAATAAGGGGTGCAAATGAAAGCTCATATATAAATTTTGACGTTTGTTTTGAGTGCGCAGTCACTAAACAGATTGTTTAACCGTTAGACCATGTAATTCATTTGCGAATTTTGACTGCTCTTTCTTTGGGCCTCGTTTAATCAACCGTCCGTCTTCGGTTCCGTTCTATCGGGACTTAGAGCATCTAGTTATTATCTGGTTTATGTAATGTCACAGACGTTTTCCACATATACGTCAGCTTTGATCACAAAAAAATGTCTGTGAGCGGAACATCAGTCCGTGTAAGACAGACGCTCTTAGTGGACACATAATAGTAAAGTAAAGGCCTAACGCTGTTTCTGAGGACTTTTATTAAAACCGGCAACAAATCTGACCCTCATACGTACCTTCTTTCAAATGCTGCATTATATCAGAATACGTCCTCTGACAAACTGTCCACTCTGAGCGTGAATGCGCACAGAAACTGGAAATCGCCATTTTTATATTCCCGCAAGTGGCGCCGACGTTGGTGATTGGCTGTTGATGCTGACTCCTGATTGGCTTCTGACAGTTACTTGGCAAGGGCGACGGATTGGTGCGTTTTGCGAGTTTCCAGGATGCGTTCGGGGAAAGGGAGGGGGGGATGTAATTGCGTTTATGAATTCACATACACTTGCGGATGCAAGTGTACTGGGCGAAGGCAAATGCCGTTGGCGGTCAGGTCAATTGAGCGCCTGCCCAGATGGCTCCTAAAGCAAGAAAATGGAATCCCGCGTTCAAATAAACACCAGCTTGATAGTGGTCAATCCGTCGACCACTAAATCTTCTTCCGAGAACTTGTTGGGGCACGAACAACTCGGACATTGCGTTACCTGGAGGTGGCCTATACACGACGGTTGAAACAAGATCTTTATAAACAGTTGGAACAGGTGGTTAGCCTAAGCTTGCCATGGTAGCCTCTAGCTCCATGATTTTCACTTTGGCTTTCTTTTTTTCTCGTTGACGCCTTTTTTCCACTATTCTTCCCATACGGTGTTTGAGTTACCAACTTTGTCGATTAGCCATCATTACCCAAAACCATGACTTTGTCGTTTCTGCATTGATCTTCTGCGCGGATTCAAATATGCTGTATTCTTCCGACTGGTTATCAATGTTATGAAGCGGTAGGACGCAGCTGACGAGGCGTCGCGAAATTTTTTGGTACCATTGAATCCTGCCCTGCTTGCCTGCTTCAGCTTCGTGCCGGGGACACAATGCTTCAAATATCTATGTCTCTTTAGATGTAAGGTGCCGTGCGAGAAATGGCAATACGGAACGCTGACATGCCGATGCCTCTGCGCCTGGGGTGGGAAGACTTCGCCGTAATCGGTTCAGGGTCAAGGGGATGGCCAACATCAGTCATAATTCAATCAGATAATTGCCCGCAACGTCGTGAAATGTCGTTGTCTTAGCATATAACTTGAAAAATCGTTTTCACGGAAGCGAAGGCGACAAAACAGGCAGAATTAAAGTCAGAGAATTTCGTGACGTCCCATTCGACTGCACACGGTCATTGAGTATTTATGAGATATAAGCTTAACTGTTCAATCAGCTACGGCCAAGGGGGATGAAACATGATAGGTAAATAAAACAGGTTGTCGGACTGATACACGGGGTCGCATGGCGAGGGGGAGGGCAGTTATTTAAGCAAGCGAGTTTAATATAAGATGAAAGCCTGTCGGGCGTGATTAAAATTCAACACGCGGGACGGCAGTCAGTCATGGGGGGGAGAGGGGGAAGGAGAGAACGGGTGTGAGAATGGGGTTATACCATTGTCGATCCTTACCATGGCAATGCGAGGTTGATCACGTGATCCAGCTGCTTACGGATTTTCGGTTTTCTCCTCCGTATTGCAGCGGCTCCGGCAAAATCTTGACCGTCTCATTCTTTCGAAACTGCAGGAATGCAAATACTGACTCTCGTTTTCAAATAGATCAGTCGAACCATGTGATGGACTCGGTGAGCCCGTTGTGTTGGCGATTATTCTTTAAACACCTTTTTAACTGACAATCTTTTCATGCTGATCTGATCAAGTCGCTAAACATACCACCTGGAGAAGCGTCATTTCCGTTGAATCCAGATGACTACATTGTTAACCTGTCGGCCTTGACGCTGACTAAACTGCAGGCCGAAGCCCACTCTTTAGGGCTTAAAGTTAGTACAGCAAGAAGAAAAGGCTCTGAAAGCAGTCGCCGCGAGCGCGCTGTCCAGGAAAGTGGTGTTTTGTTTTTGTTCACCTTCGAGGTTCTGAGACCCAGTTCATGTGTGCGTGATTCGTTGTCTCAGCGTCCGCCAGCCAATCAGAGGATGGACAGCGTTGATTGGCTTCTAGCACTCGCGAGGCTGATCCCCAACCTCGCGCGTCCCAACAGCGTATGGAAAAGGAGTGTCAGGCGGAGAGGAAGGCAGCGTGGCAAAGGCGGAGGACAAGGAGACGCGAACTGCCACACATTTTCCTCACTATAAACAATCTGACATGCCTGAATCTATCAAAGTGCACTTGCAGTCGTGGCTTAGAAGGTTGACAACTGACGATTCAACCTCAGACCTCGCGATCCGCCCTGGCGTGTGCCACTAGGGGCATGGTCGTGTACGTGGCACGCCCAGGTGGGTATTCTAACTCTGTCAGCCATTGCGTCCAGTCACCGCATCAGGCAATTTTAGTGTGCAAAGTGCATAAGACTGATAGTGAAACGGCAATGTTATAGAGGTTGAAAATTTGCGAACAACAAACAACTCATTCATCGTAGGGGCAAAGATTTATCCTCCGAAATATGGGGCAGCGCACAGCAAAGCTCACCATGGCAACTAAAGAAAAGAAAGACTTATTTATAAGACTGCCTTTTCAAGGGGACGCAGCAAGAAAACTAGTGAGGAGACGTCGGAAGACAGCGATCGCTAGCGCTTTTCCCGCGGCTAACTTACGTGTATATTTCACTAACTCTCCCCTCCTACGCTTGGGAGGTAAAGACCGACTCTCGTTGCAGGCCACATCGATGTGTATTTACTCAGTCACATGCTCCTGTGGAGCGGGATACATTGGCCGTACAACGAGGCGCCTGGATTAGTGAGTACGCGAACACATACTGGCCTTGCTAGGCAGAGGTGAAAAGATATCGATCTCGAGTTCTATCCTCGCACATCTTGTCGATACGAATCACCGAGTCGATGCCGAAGAAGCCTTTCATGTTGTCTACCGGACACCAGCAAGCTTCTCCAGAGGCCTACGCCAACAGGTGCTAGCTACAGCCGAGGCAGTGGCTATACGGCTAGCCAATCCAGTGCTATGCTGTCAGAAGACTCTGACACAGGCGCTCTGTCTTCCGTGGCCAAAGCCGACCCAACCACCTGATGGCAGTGGTGCGTGCACAACGTACCCGACGTAAAAACATTACTCACAGCCTATGTCCCCCTCTCCCTCGCCCCTTGACCCAATGACAACGACGCCCCGACCACGCCATAGCACGCCTCGTTTTGCGAGTGGGTGGGAACGACGATTGGCATGGGAACGATGGGTGTGAATAGTTCCTGAATCACTTATAAGCCCTGTAGCTTCGCATACTTTTAAACTTCTATGTAACCGTTTTGACCTGATGAGAGTTACCGAAAATACGTGTTTGTCAAATTGACTTTTAAATAAAATGTGTTATTGAGATCAAAATAGTAGCCATTTTATAGTTTATCAATGTCTCACTGGATGGAGTTTTGCGAGTTTCGGCGGACACTTAACAGATGAGTATCCAGTCCGTATACCGTTTACTCGGGATTGCCAGTCGTAAGTTGTAAGTTTTCCTGAAACACTGGAAAGGCATTGGAAGTCGCGCAGAACCTCGTCATATACTAACCTCGAGAGAAAGGAGCGACAGTTCTGTTAAAGCACGTTTTATTACTGTTCTGAACCTATCCCCAGACTGTAAAACGTCACGTAAGAAAACGGAAGAAACCTCGCTCTGTCCAGACAAAACTACTACACAATAAACTCACACTGAAAACGGAGAAGTATCCGAGTCACAACAGTGGAATTGAGT